TTCTATTAATCTATACCTTGCCACGTGGCTTGTGGCTTACCGGTACTTTACATCTTCCTTGTCCTGATGGCGGCTGGCAGTGTCTCTCTCACCCAGCTTCTTGTCCTCTCTCTTCTCCTCTCTTAGTCCCGCCTATACTTCCTGCCTAGCCACTGCCAATCAGTGATTTATTCATTGACCAATCAGCAACACATTTGACATATAGACCATCCCACATCAGATAACAAGAAGCCTGCTATGGCCATACAGTTTATAAGTAATGTAAGTCTCTGTGTGTTTACTTGGTTGGATCTGAGTGGCTGCAGGACTGGTGGGTGAGAGAGACTTTTCCTGACCGTGGGCCAGGCAGGAAAACTCTAGCTACAGCCTCCACATGCAAATTTGGTTTCAGGCAAACCAGACTTTCCTCTTCCCCCTATTCTCTATACTAGTCACACTTATTCATCCTGCCTGGCTACTGGCCAATCAGCATTTTATTTATAAATCCATCATAGCAACATATATTTACAGCATACAGGACATCCCACAGCAGGAGATAAAGCAAAGTTCACATCCTGTTCCTTCTGAAGCTGCTCCTCTGAGTTTTCTGCTTCCCACTGTCTTCATAACTCACTCATGGGCACTCTCCACTCACTGGGCCACTGGCCACATCCTGACACAGCTCTGGTTAGCAGCTGTGGGAGGAGGCTGTCTCTCTCCTCATGCCTCTCCTCCCTTGATCCCTGCACTGCTCAGCACAAGCCTTGAGCCTCTTGGGTTCACAGCACTGTTGGGAACAGTTGGGAGAATTAATGGATCACAATATACCAGAGGCAAACCTAAACTAGTTGCTAAATATGGGATCATATGAGTTCCTCCTGCAAATATCTTCCAGCTCATAGCCACATGCTCAGCCTTCAGCTCTTCCAAACACTTCCCTTCTTGAAATCTCCTTTAGCTACTCCCATGTTCATACACATAACTAGTAAACAGCACATGCATAAACACACACACAAACAGCACACCACCATTCCCTCCCCCCCCACACACACACTTTACTCAAACTTGGTCTACCCTATTCAAGGAAGCTCCTTTCAACATTATGAGCCTCTGAATCCCAGCCCACTAGGAAGCCAACGTTCTACACAGGTGCTTCCTCACTATGCATGGGTGCCCTCCTCACTCCTCTACACAGGTGCCCTCCTCACTCCTCTACACAGGTGCACTCCTCACTCTACACAGGTGCACTCCTCACTCTACACAGGTGCACTCCTCACTCTACACAGGTGCACGCCTCACTCTACACAGGTGCACTCCTCACTCTACACAGGTGCACTCCTCACTCTACACAGGTGCACGCCTCACTCTACACAGGTGCACTCCTCACTCCACACAGGTGCCCTCCTCACTCCTCTACACAGGTGCACTCCTCACTCTACACAGGTGCACTCCTCACTCCTCTACACAGGTGCACTCCTCACTCTACACAGGTGCACTCCTCACTCTACACAGGTGCACTCCTCACTCTACACAGGTGCACTCCTCACTCTACACAGGTGCACGCCTCACTCTACACAGGTGCACTCCTCACTCTACACAGGTGCACTCCTCACTCTACACAGGTGCACTCCTCACTATACACAGGTGCACTCCTCACTATATACAGGTGCGCTACAAGTGACCATTCCACAGCATAGCTGCCCTCCTCACCTCTCAGGCTCTGGCATCTCACACCAGACTGCTGCTTGGAGACTCTCTCCTGAATCCAGACACTTTCTCACCAGCATGCTGACATCTCCTCACTGCTTGGGCTCCAGTTCTGCTGTCAAGCCAGGCCTCTGCACGGTCACCCAGACCATGGACCAGACCATTGCTGCTCCACACCTAATCCTTCCACAGACACTTGCCTTGCCCTCCCTACACCATTCTTTATTCAGTAAGTTATTAAGTAACTGAGCTGCTGCAAGGAGAGAAACCAGATATAATAAACTATAATGTCCTGTGTGATTGCTGAATCTATAGAGTATTTCCATAGTGATAAATATGCCTACACATCACTTCACTCCAATCTCAGATGCTCAGGGGTTTTACCCTCTCAGAAAAATATATTTCTAAGTTTTCATATCTCACATACACCACAATAAACCATGCACAATATTCAAGTGGCTTCCAACAACAAATATTTCTCATTTGCATATGTCCTAAGTGTCGTTATTGGTCACTGTAATTCTGTTCTGCTCCTTTCCACATTTATCTTTGGTAGCTAGGATCATAGAGATTAGTAGTTTCTTGTAAGATGAACATGTAGCAACCTCCTGTATTTAGAGAATAAGATTCATTCTCATTCTATGGGTCAGTGAATGTCACCTGAACAAACAAGCCAATTGGGCATGAAAGCATAAGCTATGTGAAGGAAGATGGGTCAAATGAATTGAAACAGTCCTTCTACAGAAGAGTATGTAAGCACTTAGGAACCAGCATAGCATCTACACCTAATCCCTTTACTCTTTACTCAGGAGATGAGTTGTTATTGGATTTCAAAATGGAACTTTAATCCCATTGGCAGAGAAGAGGAACCATTGCAACACAAGCATAAAATACTAAAATTTGCTGGAGAGATGGCTTAGCGGTTAAGAGCACTGGCTGCTCTTCCAAAGGTCTAGAGTTCAATTCCCAGCAGCCACATGGTGGCTCATGACCATCTACAGTGGGATCTGATGCCGTCTTTTGGCATAAAGTCATACATGCAGATAGAGCACTCATATACATAAAATAAATAAATAAAACACTCAAACTTGTGCTTTATTGATCTCTGATAGTGAACTAAATTAGTGTCATATGGGTTTAGTGTTTGGTGTCTGTCATGAACAGCATGGGTTCTGTTGGGAAGCAGTGTGGGAGTGCCTAGGACAGTGATGGTGCACATTCTCCTGTTCACCAACATCTGCAGTTATAACATTTACACCTGACCTGTCAAAGAAAGACTTTCTCTGGACTTGCAACCTGGTCATGGGAGGTGACCTCTCTAATTCTTTGGAATTCCTGGAGCTATTGGGAAGTCTGTTTTATCATAGTAGGCCACAAAGCCTTATGCTGCTCAGTTCCTACATAGTTCATGCTAACAGGACAATTCATGTTGGAAGCTCACCATTTCAGAAACATTGACCATGTAATTAAATTGTGAAGTCTTTGGGGCATGAGATGCTCACCCTGGCAGGGAAATGATGCTGAAGGCTGAGTTCACTCTCTTATCAACCCAACACTCACACCTATATAATGAACCCTGATAAATCTCTGAACATCAGAGCTCAGATGAGTGGCCCCTGGTTGGCCTATTCTGTATACTGCCACTCATTAACATTCTGGGAAGGAGATGCATCCATGGGGTCAATGGAAGTTCCCTTTATGGGACCCTCCCTGACCTCACCTGAAATGTCCCTCCCTTTAGTTCTGCTTTGTATCTTTCTACAAAACAAAACTACAATACTAATAGAACAGAATCGTTAGTTCAGTGTGTCATCCTAGCAACTTATAAATCTGCAGGTATCATGGGATCCTGGGACTCTGCAGATAGTTGACTTGAAGTAATGGCATCCTTGGGAACTCCTGAACTTGAAGCTTGAGTCTGAAATAAGGACAGTCTTGTGGAGGCATGTCCTGAACTTGTAGAATAATTTAATTAGTAAATGAAATGATTTTGGCTACGGTTTACCAGAACAGCCATAAGAAACATTTTGGGGATGGCTGAGAAAGGACAGGCAAGATCATTCATCATCTGAGAAAAGAGTTGTTAAATTTTCTAAGAGTGATAGTGGTATTGTTTTGTTGTGCAATGACAATTTCAGATGATATATACTGAAATATTGCCTGAAGTGTTATGTATCAAACTAGCTCTCAAGTGACCTATCAAGTAACATGTGCATATATATGCATATACACACATATATATGAAATTATCAAAATGTCAACAATCATTACTATAGATGGTAATTGTAAGAGTTTTGATGATACCATCCAGTCAATTGTGTTTCAACATATTCATGATAAGAAATTAAATAGGCCTCCAAGGTGTTAAGCAGCATACAGGCTTCCGTGGGACATACGGGTCTCTTGGATGTCCATCCACAGGGCAGAGGCTATCTGGACCAACATGAGACACAAAAAAATCACTAGGGGTGCCAGTTGAAGGTTGTCTATCATCTTCTTAAACTTGCTGTTGATAAACGTAACTCAGCCCAGGATTAGCCACCCATTGGAGGCCCACATCAGCCTCACGGCACCCATAGCACCTGACACACTAGCCATGAGGACCAAGTTCCTTAAGGTCCCTGGTAGTGCAGGTTTGGGGGACATGAGAAAATGCTGATGGAAGGGCACAAAGTGCCATAGAGTAATATGAGTAATAATATGAGTAAGCACTGAGGATCAAAGTGACAATAGGTACCAATGTCACCCAGTCTGTCTGAATTTGCTGAAGAAGATCTTAAATGTTCTAAACCACACACATACAAAACAGACAACTAAGTTAGGTAATAGAGGGTGCTGTTAACCTGATTGTGGTAGCCATTGCTCAATGCATTTACATATCAAGTCAAGACACTGTAACGTGAAAATATAATTTATTTGTCAATTATACATGAATAAATCCAAAGAGAGAGGAACAAAGAAAGAGAAAAATGGCTAGAAGGACCATATCATACAATTCTATCATCAAATAAGACTTTAGGAATCTAAGAATGGACAGAGAAGCTGGCGTTCTTCTACATATGCACAAAGGGATCCTGTGGAGTCTCTGGTATATGGGTAATTCTCATTATATAAAGAGTAATGAATGAATGAATAAGTATGTATGTGAACCTGCATTATCATATGTAAAACTGTTGACTGCCTACCTAAATTTCTATGGACGTCTCTTCCACAAGAAGTTCTTCCCAGGTGTCTGTGTAATGCTGGATAAAAATTCAATCCATGTCCATGGAGAATGCTTGATTTATAAGTTTTTTTTCTTCAGAATGCTTGATTTATAAGTTTTTTTTCTTCATCTGACAAATTGACTTCTCTTTATCACTGCAAGGGATGTCATTCCAGCCCCAACCAGAAACTCCATGATTTACTATAACACATTGTTCTTTTTCATTATTGGGCTCACCCGGGTGCCAGAACCTGGAGGGAGGAAAGAGCATCAGGGCATTTCCCACAGTGATGCTGGGAAAGAGAAAACAAGCGTAAGCAAACCTCAGGATGCGGTGGGAATTTGTGGAAAGGAGATTCAGGTGTGTACAAATCAACCGTTCTCCACCACCCATGTCTGACATGTCCCTGGAAAACAGGGTCCACCACACTCAGTATTCTCTTAGCTTGTTACTTAACTGTTCTCCCAGAACACATCCCAGAGGCTACTTCATTCTACTTCATACCTAGGGCTTGGTACCCGGGGAAGTCATTCCATGTGCTTATTTATTGCTGAAAGGTCTCTTATTGTCATGTTTTATTAAAGTTTTTTTCCATTTTACAACAGTCTTATTTTAGAGACTGCAGAACTACTTAAAATATCTAGATAATCCACTTATTTCTGTCATCTAGGACAAGTAACTTACTATCCTGGATTCCCACCTGTCTCCTCTGAAGACTGAGAAGGACAGTAGCATCACTACCTGTTTCTCACAACAGAAATCAGGATAGAATGTGGGAACATACTAAGACATTAAAGTTTTTAATAATTACATTAATACAACACACAATAATATCAGAATGTGGGTTTTTGATTTAAGAGAAATAATCAGTTATGGTCTTGACATTAATTATCATTATAAGGATATAAATGAGAGCTGGGGAGATGACTCAGAAATTAAAAGTGCTTGTGCTTTTCCAGAAAATGGGAGAGTTCTGATCCCAGCACACATATTGGCGTAGTCATACCAACTGTGACCTCAATTCTGGAGACTCCAACACCCTCTCCTGGGCTCCATGAGAACCACATATATATGGCACACACTCAAGAGAGACACTGATAAACACACAAATGAAAATAAATTAAATCCTATTGTTAAATATGTAGAGAGACTGAAAGCATAATGAAACCCACCATGATGTAGCACCTTGGTTGAGTGCCCTGGGTACTTATCATGCTACACTCTTCAAACTCAGTTTCCTCATCTCTCCTGGAGTATCAGTGACATGTGTCTCACAGGACTCCTTGATGAGGAAATGGGGAAAAAAGTAACTCCATCCCCAGCACTCACACCAGGAGTAAGCTGTTTCAGTTTCATAACCAACAGCTGGAACACCCTAAAGTCTTCTCATGCTACAGGACACAGGACTCCTCTAGGTAACTCTGGACTCACGTGGCACTTTCATTGTATGGTGTCTGATCAACCCATCGCCACTGTCGGTGACCCGGATCTGAAAGCCCAATATAATAAGCAGCTTTAGGATCCAGGATCTTGATGATGAAATCCTAAGAGGAAAGAAAAATACAGCATTCAGCCTGGATGCAGTAATTCTTTTTCTATTACAGAATTTTTATATGATCTTTTAAAAGTTATTTTAACCATACAAAATTATAGGTCCAATATGATGCACATATGCAAAACGTAAAAATCAAATCCTAGTTCATTTCTCTAGGCCTTTAAATAGTTTTCAAATTTTAGATTAATACACAATAATTACACATTTTTGAGGTACACTGTGATACTTTGACTTATTTCTGGTCACACACAGATGAGAAGACAAAGAAAGGATCAAGGAATAGAAGAGCCACCTCCAACCCCAGGAGTGTCATCTTCTCTGGCTGACCAGGAAACAATGTCATCACTCAGAGGCCTGATTTCCATGACATTGGAAACAGTCTCTGTCCATGATCATAATGAATTATCATCTCAGACTCACTCCCCTTTTTCTTCCCCAACACCATTCCTGAAAGTTGTGCATGAGAGAATTTAGCAGATTTAAGCATTCTCCATTCATAACCTCAGATATTCCATTTCTGATGGCTGGCTGTGACTCTCCTGATTTGACCCCCTTTCCCTAGTCAGCTCTGCGCCCTCCTCTGTTAGGCAGTGGGTACTACAGGAAGCATTAGAGTGCTGAAATCATAAACTGGTCTTTAAGCAGAAACATTTCATCCTTTCCTCCACCCTCAGACGTTACATTTGTGTTGCCATGGTTCCTTGTGGGTTGTTCAGCTTCACTGAAACAGGGGCAAGGTGTAGAATGCCAAGGCTGAAGCAACCTTTCTGGCTTCCTGATGGAAAGCCTTCTGCCACATCAGCAACACCCATGTCAACAAAACTCCCTCTTAGTAAAAAGAGGCAGAGAGCAGGCCAGGCCCAGGCCCCACTCTCTCCCAGGATGCACCTGCTCTTCCTGGCTGTGGATCACCATCAGATGAGCACCCATGCTGGAGCACTTCTCCTCACTCTTATTCCAAGATGATGAGTCATTCGAAGTGAAGTAGCAGTGGGAACTAAATGGCTTCCAATTCTTTGGGCAACAGCTCCAGACTTTGTCTTTAGGGGAAGAAGGAAATGTAAGTGCAATGTCATAAAGTCATTTTAAAAGCTGCATGATGTGGAGACCACATGGCAGCTGGGACTCCACACTTTTCCAGATACAACAAGGAATCCTTGCCCCCTCGCAGATACCAAGCAACCCAAGTCTACCTCTGTTGACACCAATGTCAAGTCTCCTTTGTCCTACTGGGGCGTTGTCAGGGAAAGAGAGTATAAAGGACATTCAGACACTGAGGACATAATGTCAAACTGTCTGGGTATCAAAATAACAGTTTAGTTCTTGGTATAACTCATTATACCAAGAACCAGAACACTTTCATAATTTTAAATTATATTTCACAATATTATATGTTGTATTTAAAAAATACATGTCAATAATCATGGCAGCAAAATTCTGACAGATTTTTAAGTTAGTGATAATAAAAATACTTCATAAAAATATTACAAAGATTCTAGATATAAATGTAAAATAGAATGTCTAAGGAAGTAAAAAAATATAAAAATCCAATGTGTTTAAATATAATTTTTTAAATTTTTGAAAGCATCATTTTAATCATTTCATAATTCTTTATTACAACCATATATGAGTATATTTTTAACAGGTCCATTTCATCAATTACTTAGGGCATTGCTTTTCTTTACACCCCTATTAAGAATAATAGCAGCAGATCAACTTTGTCTACACTAGTTAATTATGTCCGGGGAAGAATTTTAGAGAATAAATTGCTGAGTCAAAGAATCAAATGTGTTGTAAATATAACTCTTAATATCTGTAATAATGTGTTTTTCCATTTTATAATTGAAAAATTGATAGAATAATCTTTTTTAAGTGCAGTGGTTATAGTAGAATGGAGGTGACAGAAATCAGGAGAAACAAAAATCATAAACATTGAATTGAATAACATAGAAAAAACAGAAATAAACAAATAAATACATACATAAGTACATAAATAAATAAAGTCTCCCACCATGATCCTTAACTGCTTATACCAAATAGAGAGAGGTGTAAAATACGTGAAAAATAAAACAAGGAACTGAGAAGCACATTGTGGCAGATACAGGGAGTTATATTCACACACTCATATATATCACTATGTGCTTGTACGGATACAAAGAATGTCAGAGATGAGAAAGCAATCACAGACCAGGAGAAGATAGAAGAATGAATGGCCAGAGCATGCAGTGTTCAGTGAAGAACTTAGAAATTTCATTTTTAGTGGTAAACGTAAACAAGGCTCAGATGACAAAGACTATTGTGCACCATTATGAAGAACTTGGATAGATATAGACAGATACATTAGTCTGTCTCTTGAGAAACCTAACCCAATATTCCACCATAGTGTGGGCTATATGTCCAACATCCTTTCAAAATTACAATGTGGAAAATGGATTTTAAAAAAGATCATTTCTTTACATTTAATTAAAATATAATTATATCATTTTCCCTCCAGTCCCTGCCGTGTTCCCTCCTCCCTCTCAAATTCATGGCCTATTTTTACTGTTCTAAGAGCTACAGACAATTAATACCTGCTGAGAGAGGGAGAATTAATCTTCAGGGATGAGCCTCCTAACTGGTTATCCAATACCAAGTGGTTAGCCTTTAAAAGGTACACTTGTATCAGCCGAACACAGCATAGCAAGGTGCAGTCAGACTTTTCTGAAGGGAAATGGAGAGACAGTGGATCTGAGGGATAAGTGAGTGATGGACCTGGGGGGAGGTGAGGGATGGGAGGCTGCTGCTGTGATGTATTGTATAAAAGAAGAACAGTTAAAAAAAGAAATGAAAGATACAGATGATGAAAAAAAGGTACACTTTTAAATGACCTACCTTAAGTGGACCATCAGGTGATAATAACAATCTGTAAGAATTTGTATAGTTTAGACCCTGTGGACAATTAAACTAACATTTCACACCTGTCATTTCCTCTCCAAAAACCATTACTCAAATTTTAATATAGGATTATCCTATAATACACTAGATCAGTCATCCTCAGAAGTGGTATTCAGATCATTTAAAACAAGTATCTTATGAAAACTCATCCCAACCAAGAGAAAACTGAAGAGATGTGACAGCTAAATACAGTGTTGCCATCTCAGATGAGAGTCTAGTAATCGTGAACTTCATTCAGTGATGACGTCAGTATTCACTCGCTAGTTGTAGCAACCATGTTTGCTTATAAAGATGTTCGTATAGAGGACAGTGTATGTATATGTGGGGTTAGAATGATATCTTTATATCACATGAAATTGTCTATAAATTTTAAAATGTTCTCAGGGAGTCTATTAAAGCCTTAAGTAATTTGTATTCATGATACAAGGTTTCATCATTTTCTTCAAATTATATGTGTGTATGTGTTTTAAGATTTCTTTATTTATTATGCATACGGTGCTCTGCCTGTGTTTATGTCTGCATGCCAGATGAGGGTACCAGATCTCATTACAGATGGTTGTGAAACATCATGTGGTTACTGAGAACTGAACTCAAGACCTCTGGAAGAGCAGCCAGTGCTCTTAACCTCTGACCCATCTCTCCAGCCCCATATACATACTATATATGGTTGATATATTTTGCACCCCAATAAACTTATCTAGGGGTCAGAGAACAGAACAGCCACTATATTAGACATTAGACATAGGTTTAGGTTGTGGTAGCACATGCCTTTAATCCTAGCATTCTGGATGCAGAGATCCATCCTCATCTCTGTGAGTTCAAGACCACACTGGAAACAGCCAGCATTGTGACACACACCTTTAATCTCCGGAAATGATGGCAGGAAGCAGAAAGGTATATAAGGCATGAGGACTAGGAACTAGAGGCTTTTAAGCTTTTAGGCTTTTAGCAGCAATTCAGCTGAGGTCAATTTAGATGAGTATTCAGAGGCTTCTAGTTTGAGGAAACAGGATTGGATAAGCAGTTGGCCAGGTGAGGTCAGCTGTGTGGCTTGTTCTGCTTCTCTGATCTTTCAGAATTCACCCCAATTCCTGGCTCCCGAGTTTGTTTTTATTAATAAGACCTTTTAAGCTTCGTCTTACATTTGGCATCCGACTTGTGGGGTGCCAATTCCCGAAAAAGTCACTTGCCTGTGGCCTTGCAGTTCCCAGCTCAGGCCCAAGCTACACTTGGCCAGTTGTGATGGTGCACGCTAGTAGGATTTGCTGAAGGAGGCAGAGGCCGGAGGATCCCAAGTTCAAGGCCAGCCTGGGAGGCTTGCTGAAGTGTGCTGTGGGATGTTTTGTATGGCAAATGTGTTGCTCTGATTGGTTAGTAAATAAAACACTGATTGGCCAGTAGTCAGGCAGGAGGAAGTATAGGCGGGGCAAGGAGGAGAATAAAGCTGGAAAGTGGAAGGCTGAGTCAGAGACACTGCCAGCCGCCACCAGGACAAGCAGCATGTGAAGATGCCGGTAAGCCACAGCCACGTGGCAAGGTATAGATTTATAGAAATGGATTAATTTAAGCTGTAAGAACAGTTAGCAAGAAGCCTGCCACGGCCATACAGTTTGTAAGCAATATAAGTCTCTGTGTTTACTTGGTTGGGTCTGAGCGGCTGTGGGACTGGCAGGTGAGAGAGATTTGTCCTGACTGTGGACCAGGCAGGAAAATTCTAGCTACAGAGGCGAAGCTATGGCCAGGGCCAGGCCATGCCACAAATGGTGGTAGCGGGACCATGGAGGCAGTGACTGCTGCTCCACATTGCTGGCTGCTTCTCATTGTATTGATCGTGGCAGTGATGCTGTTACTGGGGATGAAACGTTTACCACTGCTTGTTCATAAAACAATTGCCAGAACCATTGTGTTACAAGAAAGCATCGGCAAAGGTAGGTTTGGGGAAGTTTGGAGAGGCAAGTGGTGGGGAGAAGAAGCTGCTGTGAAGACATTCTCTTCTAGGGAAGAACGTTAGTAGTTCTGAGAAGCAGAGATTTATCAGACTGTGCTGTTATGCCATGAAAACATCCTAGGATTTATAGCAGGAGACAACAAAGACAATGGCACATGGACTCAGGGGTGGCTGGTGTCGGATTACCATGAGCATGGATCATTTTTTGATTTCACTCTGTCCACAGCAAGCAGTCTTGCCCATCTTCACATGGAGATTGTTGGTACCCAAGGAAAGTCAGCTATTGTTCACAGAGATTTGAAATCAAAGAATATCTTGATAAAGAAGAATGGAACCTGTTGTGTTGCACACTTGGGACTGGCTCTGAGACATGATTCTGCCACAGACACAATTGATATTGCTCCAAACCACAGAGGAGTCAAAAAAAACCCTGCAGTGAATCATGACTATGCCTAACAACAACTTTGAAATCTTCAAAAAGAGAATGGGACCCCACAACGATGATTTGATTAGGACAATGATAACACCATTATAAACTGCTCAGGACAATTTCAAGATGGCTAGCTGAGACAATCCAGCATCACAGACTACTTGAGCAAGGACTTGAGATAATTAACCAAAAAATACTCTTTTCAAGATTCCCTAAAGATGTCTTCACCCCCAGAGAGCAGGAAGTAATTTTAAGAAAACAATGCCTGTAGCAGGAATCTTAGAGAGTCTTATTAATAAAATCAAACCCGAGGCCAGTTATTGGGGTGAATGCTGGTAGATCAGAGAGACAGAACAAGCCACAGCTACCTCACCTTGCCGGATCCTCAGCTCGTCTTGTCTCCTCAGACTGGAGGCCTCTGAGTCTTCATCCAGAATGGGTCTCAGCTGAATTGCTACTCAAAAGCCTGAATGCTTAACCAGCCAAATGCTTGACCAGCCAAATGCTTCTAGTTTCTGGTCCTCAAGCCTTATAAAACTTTCTGCTTTCTACCACCACTCCCTGGAATTAAAGGCTCGCTTTCTGGGATTAAAGGTGTGAGTCACCATGCCTGGCTGTTTGCAATGTGGCCTTGAACTCACAGAGATCCAGATGGATTACTGCCTCTGGAATGCTAGGATTAAAGGTGTGAGTGCCACCTTTTTCTAGCCTTTGTATTTAGTGGCTGTTCTGTTCTCTGACCCCAGGTAAGTTTATTAGGGTACACAATATTTTGGAGAACACAATACCACCACAAATTCCCACATTCCCAAGAGGTGGGGTGGGTAATTTTTGGTCATTCAATGACTTATGGATAATTGTCATTGCTTAGGATAGTTAGTTACAAGTTGTTATTGTTAATGGTCAGGAAAAAAAAGGTTAGAAAAAGGAGATTAGATTCAGGGTTTGTTGTTTAAAAGAAAAGGAAAAAAAAGAAAAAAGAGGATACAAATAAGAGGTAGATTTGAATCTACTCTGAAAAATAAAAGAGATAGAAATAATAGGATAAAAGGGTTGATTATTGAATCTACTCTGAAAAGAAAAAAGAGAAGATTTAGAAATGATAAGAGGTAGATTTTTTAATCTACTCAGAAAAGAAAAATGAGAGAATATGGATATGATAAGATAAAAAGGTAGATAATTGAATCTACTTTTAAGGAACTACTTGTTTTAAATATTTTACATTGGATTGGATTTTCTACGTTGTATATAAATTTGGTATTGGACTCACCAAACTAGGATAAATAATGAAATTTTTTTTGTCTGAATTTGTCAAATATTAATGGACTGGACATTAGTAATGTATATAATGGAGTTTTTTGTCTGAGTCAAATGTTATTGGACTAGACATTGTTAATGTAATTCTTGACTGTATATATTGTATATACTTTTTCTTATATTAGTTATAATTTTTTATTTTAAACAAAAAAGGGAAATGTGGTTGATATATTGTGCACCCCAATAAACTTATCTGGGGGTCAAAGAACAGAATAGCCACTACATTAAACATAGAGGTCAGGCAGTGGTAGCACACGCCTTTAATCCTAGCATTCCGAAGGCAGAGATCCTTCTGGATCTCTGTGAGTTCAAGGCCATAATGGAAACCACCAGGCATGGTGACTCACACCTTTAATCCCAGCACTTGAGATCTCATGTCTTGCTTGGGAAAGACGCATGCCTTTAATCTCAGGAAGTGATGGCAGGAAGCAGAAAGGTATATAAGGCAAGAGGACTAGGAACTAGAGGCTTTTAAGCTTTTAGACTTTTAGCAGCAATTCAGCTGAGATCAATTCAGATGAGGATTCAGAGACTTCCAGTTTAAGGAAACAGAATCAGCTGAGAAGTTAGCAAGGCGAGGTCAGCAGTCAGCTGTGGCTTGTTCTGCTTCTCTGATCTTTCAGAATTCACCCCAACACCTGGCTTTTCTGGGTTTGTTTTTATTAATAAGACCTTTTAAGATTCGTGCTACATATGTGTATATATATATATATATATATATGTGTGTGTGTGTGTGTGTGTGTGTGTGTGTGTGTGTGTGTGTGTACTGAGGTAGGAAATAGCAAGTGTGCAGAGATGGTTCAGAAAGAAGCAGAAGCTAGAAAAATCTAATACAATAGAACCTTTTACAAACAAGACTTGTGTAGACAAATGGAGGCATACATATCAGACCTTCTGGTCTGATACAAATGTACATGGGGACTCCACTTCTCAGTACATGCCACTTGGGAATCTATTAGAAATATCACACAACTCAGGCAGACATCCCCTACTCAAGTGTAGGCCATAGCAGCCAGAAGAACTAGAAGACATATTCAGACAGAGACTCAACTGCTGGACCAGAGGCCACTAGGCCACCAGAACTCCAGATAGACCTCCCTCCCCAGGACTTCCTCCACTCTCTTAGTGCACCCCAGACACTACCCCCAATCGCTCCTCCCCTAATCACAATGTCCCAGCCCCCAATTGAGATGGAGAGCCCATCCTCAACAAGAGGCCAGGCCAGCTGCCAGAAGTCCAGTCCTCAGCTTGGGAGAAGAACCTCTGTTCAACCACAGACCACACAGAATTAAAGACCAAAAATGAAAGAGAAACCAAGAAATAAAACACCCACCAAAGATAAACTTGACACCTAGTCGTAAAATCACCCCAAACCCAGATGCCTGGATGCCAGGCTAAGAATACAATCAACAACAGCCATGGTGATATGTTACCACCAGAACCCAGCTGTCCTACTACAGCAAGTCCCGAATATCCCAACACAGCCAAAGTACAAGAAAAAGACCTTAGAACCAACTTTATGGAGATGATAGAGGTCCTTAAAGAGGAAAATGTATAAACCCCTTAAAGAAATCAAGAAAAACACAAACAAAAAATTGGTGGAAATGAATAAACCCCATAAAGAAAGCCAAGAAAAAGCAGACAGTTGAAGGAAATGAATAAAACCACTCAAGACCTGGAAATGTAAATAGAAGCAATAAAGAAAACACAAAATGAAGGAATTCTGGAACTGGAAAATCTAGGTAAGTGAACGGGAACTACAGATACAACCAAGAGAATACAAGAGAGGGAAGGGAGAATCTCAGGCATTCAAGATACAATAGAAGAAATAGGTACTTCAGCCAAAAAAGTACTAAATCTAAAAAATTTCTGACACAAAACAGCCAGGAAATCTTGCACTCTATAAAGAGATCAAAGCTAAATATAATGGGAATAAAACAAGGAGAGAATCTCAGCTCAAAGGCTCAAGAAAATTTTCCTAATCTAAAGAAGGAGATGCCTATAAAGGTACAAGAAGCATACAGAACACCAAATAAATTGAACCAGAAAAGAAAGTCCCCTCACCACATAATAATGAAAACACTAAGCATATAGAACAAATAAAAATTATTAAAGACTGCAAGGGGAAAAGACCAATTAACATATAAAGGCATACCTATTAGAATTACACCTGACTTCTCAGTGGAAACTATAAAAGCCAGAAGGGCATGGACAGAAGCACTGCAGACTCTAAGAGACCATAGATGACAGCCCATACTACGATAGCAAAACTTTCAATCAATGTAGATGAAGATATGATATTTCATGATAAGTTCTAATTCAAAGAACATCTATCCACAAATCCAGCTCTACAGAAGGTAATAGAAAGAAAACTCCAACCCAAAGATGTTAACAATGCCTATAAAAACACAGGAAATAAATATCTCACTCCAGCAAAACCAAAAGAAGGTAAGCACACACTTATACACATACCACCACCAATAATAACAACAATAACAAAATAACAAGAATTAAAGTCATTGGTCATTGATATCTCTCAGTATCAATGGACTCTATTTCCTAAGAAAAAACACACAGAATAACGGAATGGAAGCAAAACCAGGATCTACCCTTCTGCTGCATACAAAAAACACACCTCAATATCAAAGATAGACATTACCTCAGAGTAAAGGGTTGGAAAAAGATAGTCCAAGCAAGTGAACCTAAGAAGCAACCTTGAGTAGGCATTCTAATACCTAACAAAATAGACTTCAAACCAAAATTAATCAAAAGAGACTGGGAGGGGCACTTCATACTCATCAAAGGAAAATCCACCAAGATGACATTTCAATTCTTAACATCTATGCTCCAAATGCAAGGACACCCAAGTTTTTAACAGAAACACTACTAAAGCATAAATCACACATTTATCCTCACACATTGATAGTGAGAGGCTGCAATAACTCACTCTCACCAACAGATAGGTCATCCAGACAAAAACTGAACAGAGAAATATTGGAGCTAACACACATCATGAACCAAATGGACCTAACAGATATCTACAGAGCATTTTCACCCAAACACAAAAGAATAAACCTTCTTCTCAAAGCATCACAGAAACTTCTCCAAAGTTGACCATATACTGGGTCACAAAGCAAGTTTCAACAGATACAAAAAAATATGGAATAACCCCCTGCATCCTATCAGACCACCACAGATTAAAACTGAATTTCAACAGCAACAGAAATAAAAGAAAGCTTACAAACTCATAGAAACTGAACAACTCTACTGAATGACTGATGGATCAGGCAGAAATAAAGTAAGAAATTGAAGACTTTGTAGAATTCAATTATAATGAATACACAACATACCTAAAACTATGGAACACAATGAAAGCAGTGCTAAGAGGAAAACTCATAGCACTAAGTGCCTACATTAAAAAACTGGAGAGATCTCATGCTAGGAACTTAACAGCACACCTGAAAGCTCTAAAACAAAAAGAAGTGAACACACAAAAGAGGAGGAAACAATAGGAAATTATCAAACTGTGGGCTGAAATCAATAAAATAGAAACAGAGAATAATCAAAGAGTCAATGAAACAGCCAAACATTAGACAGATCTTTTGGAAACCCGCAGAAGTGGGGAAGGAAGGATCATAGGAGCCAGAGAGGTTGAGGATACCAGACTGTATACACGTTATGGTTGTGTAGATTGATGTTCTTGTGGGACTCCTAACAGTGGGAGTGGGGGTGTCTCTGACTCTTTTGCCTGCCCTTGGGACCTTTTCCTCCTACTGGATTGCCTTGGTCAGCCTTGACATGAGGGCATTATGGTGATATTTTATTTGTACTGAAATGTGATTTTATTTGTATGTTAATAAATAAAGTTGCCTGGGGGTCAGAGCTAATAGCAAGCCATTTTTTATCTTTTAGGAGAATGAAGGTTAAGGAATCTGAAGAAAACTGGACAAACGAGACAACTGAAGAAAAGGGACAAATCATCTATCCCAGTAAACAGAGTGAAATGGCCTATGGGTATACCACCTAAAAAAATTTTATAAGTCTTCCTAAATGTTTGTTTCTGCTCTTCTCTAAAGAAATTTAACACTGTTGGTCTTTTAATAGTCCCAGTTCAATTAAAATTTAAAGCTGACTTTGGATTTGAAGAATGGCTCTCTCCTTTTTTAAACTCAAGCATGTTGTTTAAAGGAAAATGCAAACTCCCTGTATCATGCCAGAAGAAGAAAGCCATCTTCTGCTATGGGACAGGAGAAAAACTAAATTAATTAAGGGACTATTCTATTACTAATCTCAACTCTTTGATTCTATTCTGATTCTTTAAACTTTTCTTAAAGTATGAATTTTATATCAAAATTTACAAGATTAATTTATATATATATATATATATATATACATTTTAAACTTTGTTAAGATATGAATGGTCATATAGAGTACTAACTAATTCTAGAAAAAAAAGGCTTCAATTAGCTGCATATATATGTCTTTGTGTTCGAGTCTCTTATCAGTTTTCTGCAGGAAATCACAGCCAGGCCTAACATCAACTGAAGTCTCCAGGAAGAAGATGGGGCCCCACAATAACAACAATTCAACGTGGATGATAATAATATCACTAAGCTGACAAACATCATCTACAGGTCAGCTTCAGACTGCAAAGTGCTCAGAGCAGTTTTTAGAGGGCTAGCTGAGATGATCCAGTTTCAAATACTACTTGAGTAAGGACTTGAGATAAACTCTGAACTTTGGCATTATGCTCAAACTGGACAACGAAGGATATAGCTACCTTTCCTAGAAATTGACAGTTAACTGCTGTGGGATGGTCTGTATGTCAAATGCTCTGATTTGTCAATAAATAAAACACTGATTGGCCAGTGGCCAGGCAGGAAGTATAGGCAGGACTAACAGGGAGGAGAACTGAGAGAACAGGAAGGTGGGAGGAGTCACTGCCAGCCGCCGCCATGACAAGCAGCTTGTGAAGATGCTGGTAAGCCACGAGCCACGTGGCAAGGTATAGATTTATAGAAATGGATTAATTCAAGATATAAGAACAGTTAGCAAGAAGCCTGCCACGGCCATACAGTTTGTAAGCAATATAAGTCTCTGTGTTTACTTGGTTGGGTCTGAGCAGCTGTGGGACTGGCGGGTGTCAGAGATTTGTCCTGACTGTGGGCCAGTCTGGAAAACTCTACCTACAATTAACGTAAAATTTTTCTTTTCAGGATAAAGATACCTTCACCCGTACCTAGCAGGAAGCAATTTTAAGAATACAACGCCCACATTCCCAAAGAGGTGGTGTGGGGCAGGTGGATTTTTAGTCTTTTAATGGGTTTTGGGTCTGGGATAACTTTTATTGTTTAAGGGGGTTGGTAACAAGTTGTTGTCAAGGGTTAGGAAAAGGGCTAAGCAAAGGAGATAAGATTTAAGATTCTTGTTTAAAAAAGAAAAGAAAAAAGAAAAAGAAAAAGACAATTACTAGTTTTAAATACTTTACATTGAATTGGATTGTTTTATATTATATACAAATTATATATATTGAAATTGATATTGTTAGAAAATGCTATATGTATATTTCTAATTGTACTTATACCGTTCATTTAACAATGTAATGCAATTTTCTGATTCTTGAATGTTATTATTACCAACTATTAGGATATAAAGAAATGAAAGTTAGTAGTTAGACATTATAATTGAACTTGTAGTCATATTAGGTATGTTTTCAAGATTGAGCAGATATATTTTAGATAGACAGGTCATCTTCAAACCCTTCAGAGATCTACAGAATATGGCATTTAAAATGTTTTAATAACTTAGAAAATTTTTCTTTTTGTTATGACTATGAGACATATCGGCTCCTGGCAGTACCAATCTACTTCAGAGAGAATATGGGCATTGAAGAAACTGCATATGGAGTTAACTTTCATTGTGGCAGAAGTTAGACACTGGACAAAAAGTATCCTCGAATCAACTTCTAACAACAGGACAAAATGGACAGACAGGACATGAAACAAAGGACTACTGATTCTTGCCAAAACAAGTGTGGTTATGGCTTTATCAAAAGGCATCTTCTAAGGCCAGGACAATATGGCACCATCCCTGAAGTGGCCTTCACAATTCAGAAAAGGTACAGTGCCCTTTTCTTCGAAGGCAGCTGAACAGGCAGTGGGCTGATGGCTTCTGATGTGCAGTGGAACGACAGATGAAACCGTTATTCTTGAAGAGTAACTAAACTCACACCTCTTAATAGTAGACTGGCATTTAATAGAAGGATATGGAGAAGAACAGGATGCTGAGATGAAGCCACACACACACATAGCCAAGAAGAATGGACAGCTGAATTCAAAAACCATCAACAATTTCCACAATTTAAAATCCTGAATCATGACATGACACTAGTGGAATTCAGGTGTTTCTGGTACATTGACTGCTCTCACCCAATGTGAGGTCAAACTGTTGACCTTGTGTACATCCCACTTCACAAATAAGCCCCAACACTCAGGTGACTGTCCAGGCAGCTGGCTGTTTCTGTCAACTCACATTTTTTTTGGAAGTTGCTTGCATGCACTTTCTGTTTTTATTTTTTATTCGGTAATATTATTTCCTTCTTGGGTCTCTGAGGGAGTTGAAGATTAGTTAGTTATAGTTGAAGATTAGTTAGGATAGAAAGTAAATTAGGTACATTTTGGACTTACCAAAATAGGATAGATAATGGAATTATTTTCTCTGAATTTGTCAAATACAAATGGACTAGACATTGTTTAGGTATTTATTACTTGTATATATGGTATATAGTTATTGTACTTTTGTATATAGTTTTTCTTATGTTAGTTATAACCTTTTTCCTTTTTTCTTTTTATTAAAATAGAAAAGGAGAAATATGGTGATATTTTATTTGTACTGAAATGTGATTTTGTTTGTATGTTAATAAATAAAGTTGCCTGGGGGTCAGAGCTATTAGCAAGCCATAACGAAAGCTGGGTGGTGGTGGTGCACGCCTTTAATCCCAGCTCTTGGGAGGCAGAGCTAGGCGGATCTCTGTGTGTTCAAGGATACAGCCAGCATGGAGACACACGCCTTTAATCTCAATACCAACCATAGAAGACCTGGATGTCTGTGCAGATGGGCAGTGACTAGGAGGTCATGTGTTTGGGTTTACAGCTGATGAGAAGGAAGAACAGAAACACTATAAAAAGACAGACACACAGGAAGTAGGTCTCTTTCGGAGAGGTAGGACAACAGTGACAGTGAAGGTAAGGTTTTTAGCTCTTAGCTATTACACCGACCTCTTGGCTTTCATCTCTGTATTGGCTCTGTGTTTCTTATTTAATAAGATGGTTACATCTACAGGGTATGTACCTAGTCTTACTGTAACTTGTCATGCTATGTTCAGTTAATATGCCTGAGAGACACGATCATTTTTGGAAGGAAATGGAGGAAGAGTGGATCTGGGGGAGAGGGGAGGTGGGGAAGAGAACTGGAGGAATGGAGAGAAGAAAAACTGCATTTGTGATGTAATGTATGAGAGAAGAAAAGTGGAAAGAAAGGAAGGAAGGAAGGTAGGAGAGAGGGAGGGAGGGAGGAAGAGAAAAAGGGAGGGAGGGAGGAAGGGAGGGAGGGAGGAGGATCTCTGTGGAACCATTACACCCTATAGCCAGAAACAAAACACTTAGGCACATTAATTCCTACCTTCTATGGGTTTTGAGCAGTTCAATTCTGTGTAAGTTAGATCTTTTATAGCTTTTATTTCTTCAAGAAGTTGAGAGTACTTTTGATAATAAACTGTAAAACAAACAACAAACAAATAAAAAACAGAACCCAAACCACTCATTTTCATGAAAGAATTATTGCTTTCTACTTTCTCCGTACTGATACACAGATCTACTAAGTCCTGATTACCTAAGTAGACAAAGCCTGTCTACAATTCCCATCACCCCACAGTTAAAGCAGCCCTTAATCTCCTTTTTTGAAACCACAGGTACTTCCAGAACTCATAGAAATGTGAGTGATTTGAAAGGCAGGACAAACCCACTGTCATGACTCTTAAAGGGAGTGAACCATTATTTGTGAAATTATTAAGGCCACTCCACATTGTTAAAAGGAGATTTATTTAATGGTGTAACTTACAAATTAAGGGATAGGTAGGTCGCAGGGTCTGGGGAAGGTGTATCGCAGTCCAGCGGTGTTCTCTGGAGCTCTGCTTGGCCCACCTCCACCATCCAGGGTCCCAGAACAGAGAGAGCGCTCCCCGATCCAGATCTCAGGTCCCCAGGCGCCTCCCTTGGCCCCGCCTTGTAGGCGTGACAGTTGCCGAAGTCTCAATGGGGGTTGGAACTTCCAGATCAAAGCTGGAATGACTACCCACTACATCTCCCCCTTTTTGTCTAAATAAGAAAGTTGTAACCTAATACAAGACTATATACAAAGGAATGGTTATCAAATATTGTCCAGGAATAATGAGGGATAACGACCTAGATAAGATGGAACTACAACCAATGTAAACAATATCAAGCAAGAAACACATACTAAAATCCAGAGAAGTATAGAGCATAGGTAAATGGCATGTTACAAAGATCATTCCAAAAGGTGTCCTATCCTAAAGAACCTGAATCTAATACTTAATATGTTCTATCTACTAAGTTGTAACTATAACTGCTAGTCTTCAATCCCATCAAAGACCTGAGAAGGAATATAATGGTACCTGAGAGATGGTAGATGGATGCAAGCAACTTTCTGGAATCTTGCAAGAGTAGACTGAGACAGCTGGCAGCCTGGATAGTCACCTAATGTTTCTTAGCATTGTTGGTGCATTCAAATTGGCTACAGGCCTAAAGTATCTGACAGACTAGTATTATACCCTTCTGATGTCTTTGATGTGGTTAAAGACTAGATACTTACAATTATCCTTAGTTATGATAAAAGATAAGTTAGATATAAAGCCTTAAACTCACAAATATAAGATAGATATCTTCTTTTATATTATAACTATAATTCTTACTCGATAATTATTTTGTTATATGTAATATTACTATGTTGAAGTTAAAACCTTCCTTTTTGAAAAAGAAAAAAAAGGGGAAGTGCTGTGGATATCACTTTATATAAATAAAGCACTGATTGGCCAGTGACCAGGCAGGAAGTATAGGCAGGACAAGGAGAGAGGAGAATTGAGGAAGGAGGAAGGAAAGGGAGACTAGCTGGAGCCACCGCCAAGACAAGGAAGATGTAAAGTACCGGTAAGCCACGAGCCACGTGGCAAAGTAAAGATTAATAGAAATGGGCTGAATATAAGAGTGAGAGCTAGACAATGATAGGCCTGAGCTAATGGCCAAGTAGTTTAAATAATGTAAGAGTCTGTGTGTTTATTTTGTAAGTGGGCTCCGGGACTGGCAGGACTTGGCGGTGGGAGCTGGAGAAAAATTCTCCAGCTACAAACCATACCCTTCAATGTTAACATAAGATGAAAACGCTAACTCTTGTGGGAGATGAAGCAGACATAGATATTTGTATTTAAGGATGTAAACTGTCTTGGCTTTGGGAGGAAAGGGGGATAGCTAATTCTGAGTAGACCTAGGTTATTTTAGAATGTGAAATTAAAAATAACTCAACATGTATCTATGGAGCATTGTTTTCTTCCTTAAACTCTCCTCATTTCAACCAGCTTACTCCTCCATGAACATGTTCACTCTCTCCCAGTTTACAGCTGTGTGGCTTCTCTCTAGAACTGAATTTCTTCACTTTCCTCCCAGAGTCTTGTCCTCCTTACCCCAATACTTTGGCTTCCTCCATTTCACTCACACCAGGTTTGAAATGGATCATCAAAAATACCCCAGGATAATTAGTTAGCCATCTTGCTATTGGACTTGACCCAGTTCTCCTCCTCCTCAGCACTTAACACATTGCTCTGTCCAGGATTTGCATCACTGTTTTTTGCCATCACTTCTTGTTGTCTTTTATAATCTCTTCTCCCTCCATCCACCTTTTAAAATGTAACACTTCCTACAGTCTTGTCACGATGCTTCCTCCTCATACAAACTATCCCCGAGTGATGCCATGTATTGCTATGGTCTTGCCTGCTGCCTGTACGTGCGGGATTTTGTGCTCACTAAACACAAATATATTAGGTTCAACTCAATATGCCCAAAACTCAAATCAACACGTGCCAACTTAAACCTATAACTTATCCTAGATTGTCTACCTCTTTGAATAACTTCATGGTTGCTGAGTTTACATCATCAGAATATTAAAGACACACTGTACTTTATGAATCCCTTAATCCCTGGTCTCTATATTCATCAGCATCTACTTCCTTGGTGTTGTACTCTTCACCATTCAAAGTCAACTCTTCTCATGTTCTTCAGAAACTTATCTTATTATCAGGTTAGAAATAGGCCTTCTCATTTCCCTTTTAGTCCTGGTAACTCTGTTTTCAGAGTCCTGCAAAAGTACTTTCTATAATCTAAATTACCTACATTAATTCTCTATTTGAAATATTGCAATGGTTCTCCATGGCTGTGATGCCTTCCAAAAAATTACTACAACTTTTTAACTTCTGTATCCACACACCAAGCAATGTGATTTTCAAATTTCCTTGGTTAACAAAAGAAAAAAGATGAAGTCTTCTGTGTGAGCTGCCTCCTAGACTTCCTTTGGCCAAGAGAATGTGCAAAATCAACTATGATCTACTCTTAAGTTAAGTTTTTAAAAGATTTATATATTTATTATATATACAGTGTTCTGACTACATGTTTACCTGAAGGCCAGAAGAGGGCACCAGATCTCATTACATATGTTTGTGAGTCACCATGTGGTTTATGAGAATTGAACTCAAGACCTCTGGAAGAGTAGCCAGTGCTCTTAACATTTGAGCTATCTCTCCAGCCCTTGTGTTAAATATTTTGAGAGACCTGGCTCATGGTCACCCTCAATCATGGAAGTCTGCAAGCTGCTATGTAAAAAAGCCAGGACATCCTAAGGAGTTGTATAAAGGTAGGTCATACTGTTTTAAGCTGGCTGCCTCTTCTTGGGAGCTGAGGTGCCTGGACTGGTAACTGACCACATACACACGTCTAAGTTCAGCTAGGACCAGAGAAGCCACTCAGTGGAGATCAGCCTAAACTGACAAACCACAGAAGCATGAGATAAGTAAGACATTGTCTTAGCTTCTTAAATTTATGCTGATTTATTAAGCAGAAAACCATACTTGATTAAAAAATATTTAGGAGAAAAATTGAGTTTTTCATAATGGGGCACAACACAAGCTCTGCATGCCGCTATGTCTACCTAGGGAAATGTCATTTCTTCTTCACCTAGAACTGTGTACTTCAGTCATTCATGCTTCTGTCTCATACCTCTGTGACATTCTTGGTACACACAATTCTAGACATAGCTTCTTCTAGGAAATCTGTGTCAGCATAAGACTTCCTGGACAATGTTGCAGAACTAGTCCATTTTTTCTTCATTTTTTTAGACATAGATTTTTACATACTCCAGGCTAGCTCCACACTTGCTGTCCTCCTGTCCTAACATCCTGAGTAGCTGGGATAATAGGAGTGTGTCATAGTACCTGGCCAACAATGATTTGTTCACTCTCCTCTAAGATTCTGGAGAACAGAGTCCATGTTATTCCTGGACTCTGTCTGTTAGACACACTGTGAGACATACAGTAAATGGCTACTACTTGGTTCAAGTGAATGAGTAAAACACCCTAAATATACTAGTTTGCATGCATTTTAAAATTTTCAGAAATTCTAGAATCTTTGATGAGCAGAAATCCACCCATTTGCTCAGTTGGCTTCTAGATTTCACATAATCCTGGGCAGGACAGAGCAATTATAAATTAGCTAAAGAACACTTCTTGGATAATTTCTTGCTAACTCCTTCTTGTCCACACTTATCCCAAGATGAAGGAACCCTATACACACACAGCTTGTATACACATACAGCTCAACTTCTCAATGCCAATGAGAAAACAGATTTGATCTCCCAGTCTAACAAAGACAACACTCCACATAGTTCACTCCACAAACCCACATACATTCATAAATGCACTCCAGTTTCTCTAATGAGATAGATTTCTTTTTCCCCAAGACAATAGTTAGATCCAAGGACAAACTAAAAGCCACAATGTAACTCCTTGAATTATTTTCCCCCTAACAATATTTCTTCCCCATACTCTGTTAAATGCCGGTGCTACAGCAGACCCTCTCTTCACGTAAGGCAGACATATTGATTCATCGGGGATACGTACAGATAAAAGCAGCCAAGAATGCGATGGCCAACAGCAGGAAAAGTGCCATCAGTGATGTGAAGAGCAGTGAGGGGCGGCCAGGCTTACTTAGAGGAGAGGTGGGCTTCTCTTTGGGAGCTGGAAGGAGAGCACAGTCACCTCATGAGTGATAAGTTTCACCCTTGTTTCTGCTTTTCCTCCCCGTCTCCCTATTCTCCATTTCACATAATCACTAATAGTGTGACCATTTGAAATAATGGAAAAATAACGTCCATTGTAAAAAACATTACAAAATACATAAAAGAACACACACTATGAAATAACTGGTATTAATATTTTGAGACCTGAAAAATAATGTGAATACATATTCACAAAAATGCTTTGATCAAATCCTTTCACCAAGTTCTTTTTTGGTGGTAGGAGGTGTAATGGGCTAGGATCTCACTATGTAGAGCACGCTGGTCTCAAATCCTTGGTGATCCTCCTGCCTCTGTCTCTGGAGTGCTGGAATTACACCACACTGGCCCTTTCAGTAAATTTTAAAGGATGTACATATAATATGTTTTCTGACATGGTGACACAATGTAAGTACTGCCACCTGCCTGTGACTTTCCTTTTACACTGTCTTGTAGGTACATTTTCATGTCACCTTGTTTTCTTGGTGTTCTTTACTGTGGTTGCAGCACTATATATTCTAATACCATCCAGACTGTCTGAACATTAAAGACTCATATACAATAAAAGGTAAATATTTCTAGTCATATTCCACTTCTTTAGCATATGGTCAGTCTGCTAGTCACTGACTCATGACTGGAAACCGTTTGCTAGATGAAGATAAAATGTAGTGGAGAGCACCTGCCTACGGAGGGAGAGGTTCTGCTTTGATCTATAGTATAAAAGAAAAAGTTCCTTCAAGATAAAAGCTCCACTCAGAAACAGTTTTCATAAAGTTATAATATACTGACAAAATAGAGGGGAAAAGCTCAATACTGAAAAGTATGATTTCATTTTATGTTCATTTTTATATAGCCGGTAATGCTATATACAAGATATGTATATATACAAGAATGCAGGATACAAGGTATAGTTTCTGTAAATGGCAAGAGCAAAAACAATGCCAAACAAACTTTTCTTTACCACTAGAAAACTCTATAGCCCTTAAAGTCACTCTACAAATAATTCAATCCCCTGCGACTCCAGTAAAATCCCAGACATGAGCACAGAGAGGATTAGTAACCAACATCACCCAAAGTTTATTATTGACTCTTCCTTTATCCTTCCCCCTACATTAAGTCCAGAATTTTTTTTTTACCTGTAGCAGAATCTGAGTAGATGCCTGAGGAGTTAGATTCATTCTTGAACTTCACTTCTGCATAGGTGATTTCTGAAGCCATATCAAGAAGAGTGAGACCTGCCTCACTCAGAAAACGTACCTCGTCTCCGGCCTACAACTGTGGTATGTGAGAACCAAACACGGCGATAAATTGTCATATCACACAATTATATATGAGAAGAGGGACTTTCAAATGAGATATACCACATGAGAATGAGAAACCACAACACGGAATCACTTGGGCCAAATACAGAGATGCAACATCTTCAAACAAGAAGAAAGGAGTTGTAGCGTTTGAACCTACTCAGCACCATAGGCAAGTACTTTAAAGAGGGAACTCAAAGGCGGAAGGAAAGAAATAGGAAGGAGGGGAGAAGAGGAACCAAACGGTGAGAGAACTCTGTCCTAAGACACTCTGCAGCAAACATAAATTCATGCGCTTCTGCATGCAAACGTGGTTTCAGACGAACCAGACAACATTAGCAAACACCTAAGACATGACAACATCCATTTTGACTGAATAGCCAAGTTCTGACACCACATTCTAGAGGACCATTGGCCCCTCACCATTGTGTGGTCTCTCACTTCCCACTCAGCTGCCTCCAGCAGGGGGAAGGCAAAGCTCACATCCTTTTTCTTCTGAAGCTGCTCCTCTGAGCTCTCTGCTTCCCACTGTCTTCATAACTCACTCATGGGCACTCTCCACTCACTGGGCCACTGGCCATATCCTGACACAGCTCTGGTCAGCAGCTGTGGGAGGAGGCTGTCTCTCTCCTCATGCCTCTCCTCCCTTGATCCCTGCACTGCTCAGCACCAGCCTTGTGGGTTCACAACACTGTTGGGAACAGTTGGGAGAATTAATGGATCACAATAAACCAGAGGGGAACTTAAGCTAGTTACTAAAAATGGGATCATTTGAGTTCCTTCCCCAGACATCTTCCAGCTTATAACCACATGCTCAGACTCCAGCTCTTTCAAACACTTCCTTTCTTGAAATCTCCTCTTGCACCTACAAATAGCAAACAGCACATGCATGAACACACACATATAAACACACACAAACACACACACACACATACACACAAATACACACACACAGAGTTTGTCTTTTTAGGTTTTCTCTCCAGTTTGTATCCAAAAATATTAAAATCCTTGGGTGCACACCATTAGCTCCATTTTAGTGTAATGTTGCAGCAGGTTTCCATTTATTTCCCAAAATGAATGGAAACACATGAACTATGAACCAATGGCTGAGGGGTCCACACTGGATCAGGCCCTCTGAATGGGTGAGACAGTTGATTGGCTTGATCTGTTTGGGAGGCATCCAGGCAGTGGGACCAGATCTTGTGCTCATTGCATGAGTTGGCTGTTTGAAACCTGGGGCCTATGCAGGATTGTTTGGCTTGGCCTGGGAGGAGGGTACTAGACCTACCTGGACTGAGTCTACCAGGTTGACCCCAGTCTGTGGGGAAGGCTTTGCCCTGGAGGAGATGGGAATGGGGGGGGGGGGCGTTGGGGGGAAGGTGAGGGGGACGGGAGGGGGGAGAACAAGGGAATCCGTGACTGATATGTAGAACTGAATTGTATTGCAAAATAAATTAAAATAAATTAAAAAAAAATTGTAAAACATTCAGAGAAATGTTTTCTGATAAATAAAACTTTGCATGTGTCTAAGACTCCATGTATCACTGCTTTCCATCATATCATAAGAACATATTTATAATGAAATGTGTATAGTTTTAACTCTGTGAAAATATATAAAATCAATGAAAAAGAGAGCTCCCCTCAAACTCTGGCTTTGTTTTCTGTTTATGTTTAAATATAGTAATTAGTACTCAAAAAAAAAAAAAAAACTATGTTCATTATCTCTATTGTAGGCTTTCAAGTGACAATCTCTTGAGGCTGCCCATCACTCTCCCACATCCTCCACTAAGCTGCCTATCTCTCCAGGATGGGCTCCAGCCCTCAGGTCAAACCTGTGTCCCTTGAAATCATACCTTTCTCCCTTTAGCTGGATGTTCCCTCTCAGGGCCAGACACCTTGCTGAAGTTCTCACATCACGACGGAGGAAGCCTCTTCACCATGCTTGTGCAGACTCCTGGCACTAATCCTTGAGGAGTCTCCACTTACCCCGGAGGCTTTGGCACTCCAGGGACAAACCAAGGTCACCTCCATGGGCAGAAGCCCTCATCCCCCTGGAAGGTACTGAGTGGCCACACAGAGCAATCCCACCAGGTAGACAGCATCCTTACCTTGCCAGTCTCTGAAACCCATACCAGCTCTGCCTTCTGCACAGACACTCTCCTCGGCGTATTTGACCACTGCACCCAATGCCAGGACATCCACAACCAGGCAAGGAAGCTTTCCTCACCTTACTAGACACTAAGGTCCCACGTTGACATCCAGCATAGAGACATTCTGTACCCATGTCTGGTCTGCCCTCTACAAGGAAGCTCCTTTCAATATTCTGTGTCTCTGAATTCCAACCCATTATGGAGCCAACACTATGCAAGGGTGCCCTCCTCACCCTCTATGGGTACCCTCCTCACGATGCTTGATGCCCTCCTCACCATACACAATGCTGGATGCTCACCTCACCAAGACCAATGCCCTCCTCACCATACACGATGCTCACCTCACCATGCATGGGTGCTCTCCTCTCCCTTCCAAATGCCCAGTTCCTAAATCAGAACTCTCTCCTCTCCTATTTGCAGTTCTGACTCTCCACAGAAAGTGACCCAATGAGTTGATACTCTCCTCACCATGCTGGAGCACAGACTCCCCACAAGTGACCATTCCACAGCACAGCTGCCCTCCTCACATCTCAGGCTCTGACGTCTCAAACCAGATCGCTGCTTGGAGACTCTCTCCTGAATCCAGACACTTTCTCACCAGCATGCTGACATTCCCCTCGATGCTGTCAAGTCACCAAGCTCTGCATGGTCACCCAGACTCTGGACCAGTCCATTGCTGCCCCACACCTGACCCTTCCACAGACACCTGCCTTGCCCTCCCTACACCATTCTTTATTCAGTAAGTTACTAAGTAACTGAGGTGCTTCAAGGAAAGAAACCAGGTATGATAAATATAAAGTTCTGTGTGATTATTAAACCTGTCGAGTATTTACATGGTAATAAATATGCCTACACACCACTTCACTCCAGTCAAGGATGCTCAGGAATTTTACCCTCTAGGCAAAAATATATTTCTAACTTATCATATCTCACATATACTAGAGTAAGTCACAGACAATACCAATATTCAGGTGGCTTACAATAACAAATATTTGTCATTTATGTGTGTTCTTAGGGTCTGGCTATGGGTCACAGAAATTCTGTTCAGCTTCTTTTCATATTTATCATTTGGAGACAGATCATAGAGAATAACATCTCCTTGTAAGGTGAACATGTAGTAGACTCCCATATTTAGCAAATCAGATTCATTTTCATCTATTGGCCAATGAAAATCCCCTGAACAAATCTGCCAGTTAGGGTTGAAAACATACTTCATGTATTGTTGAACAGTGGTGGTGCAGGCTTTAATCCCAGCACCTGGGAGGCAGAGGCAGCCAGATCTCTGTGAGTTCTAGAACAGCCTGGTCTACAGCACTAGTTCCAGGACAACCAAGGTTGTTACACAGCGAAACCCTGTCTTTAAAAACAAACAAATATCTTGAGTAAATTACACTTTGTGAACACTGTAACTGAGAAAGATCACACACACACACAGATGCATGAGCAAAAATATATTCGTGTCCACATACACATACACACACACACACACACACACACACACACACACACACACACACACTTATGAAAACACTTGAGGGACTACAGAAATGGCTCAGTGGTAATGAGTATGGACTGCTCTCACAGAGGACTGGAGTTCAGTTCCTAGCACCCAAAACGTGTGACTCACAACCACATCTAACTCCAGCTCCAGGGATCTGACACCCTCTTCTGCCTCTGCAGGTACTGCATTCATGCACACAAATACACACAGGCATGTGTATATATATATATATAAATTAAAAATAAAATCTTAAACACACACCCTTGAGCATGACTCCATGGAGACGCTCACATTCACACCATTAGATTTGCTTTATTCTTTCTGGAGATCCTTTCTCTTTCTAATAAAATTCTGTTCAGGCCAGTATTGCCTCTCCCTCCCTGAAACTCTGCTTTATTGACACTAGGCTGCCACACATCCCAATTGTGCCTGACTGGAGACCTCTAAAAAGGACTCCACAGGCAGCTGGTACTGAGCGTGGGGTAGAAAGTCGTGTCCCATAGTGCCCATTGCTGATGGATTGACCTGAGAATCTTGTTGGAAATGCTGACTCTAGGCACACGTAGTACTAATTTCCAAGAATTAATGCTGTTTTGTACACACTAACTTGGTGTAGTTCAGTTCTTTTATAATTGCTTTTTCTTCAAGAAATTGAGAATGTATTTTAAACAAAGTTGTAAAACAGAATAAAAAAACATTAAGTTTCCTGCTAGTAATAAGACTCATTTTTTTTTTATTTTTACCTTCTTCTATCCTTTGGAGAAACCAAACCTATAAATGTCCAATTACCTGAACAGTTAGAGCCTGCCTGAGAAACACTCCCTATTACCATAGACTGGGTGTGGTGGCTGTGGCCCTAGAACATGGGAATTAGAATGAGGAAGAATAAAAGTTTCAGGTCGTCCTTAACTATATAAGTTAGTGTAGCTGGTTTGTTAGTTAGCTCATGGCTAGCCTGAGCTACATGAGAACCTACCACACACAAAAAAATCACCACCTTCAGTCAGTATTTCTCTGCTCCTGGTGATTTATGACCACAACTATATTCAGGAAGAGCTGGAAAAACAAGACAGATCCATGACCCTGGGTATTCTTCAACATTTAATGAAGGAAACACTAAAGATTACATCTAAGGTCGTAATTTCTGTTAAGTATGTGCACAGTTCAGGAAAGGTGAGGGAGAAATGAGCTAATCCAGAGCAGTTTCAGGATACCTGAGCACAGAAGTTATAAAAAAAAAGTTATAAAAGTCCGACACTGATCAAA